TTTTGTTTAAAACACGTTTCCGAGACTGGATTCTGTCTCGTCTTCAGGTAAAAACCTATTAAGTTGGGGTCAATCGATATTCCACACGTCAGAGATACCTCCGGAGCCTTGTTTTTAATAAAAAATAGGACGATAGATAATATCCAAAAACACAGTAACTGTATTAATATACCATATTCACGAAATACCGTATTTACGTAAAAGTAAAGTAAAGCTATCTCTGTAACAGGCCGTGAAGACCCATAGGGTTGTGTGACGTTGAGGGTCCCACATTATCTAGACAGTCGGCTCATAGATGGCGGTAAGGTTGTCAGCCTTACGCGCCNGCCTGCCGCTTTATCTGCGCGTGTATGGGGAGGAAAGGGAGGGGGTAAAATGTCACAGTTTTGCCTGCAAGGTCGATCGGAAGGCCAAATTGTGTGTGTATGGGGAGCCTTACGCGCCGGCCGCGCTTTACTCTCCAGGGAAATTATTTATTTAATTCCTGGTACTCATTTCTGTTAGAGGCTGTGTGAACCCCAGGGCAATAGTGCGGCCGGAAGGATTAGGTCAATTGAAAAAAAATCCAATGACCTCATCGGGACTTGAACCCGCGACCTTCCGACTTGTAACATAATGCCTTAACCACTACGCTACAAAAATAAAAGGCAAATTTATTATAGTTCCTAAGTACCACCAGGCAACTGGACCGGACTCTACATATGCTTACAATGAAAGTACCGACCACCTTTATCCATGTAATCACTGGAAGGACTATAGAATGAAGAGATTCTATATACAAGGCCATACTCACATATATTCCAAACTATTTCTGAATTTGTAACAAATATAATTTCGTTGTAAATGCCGATAGAACTATTAAATTTTGGAAAATACCTTATGGCTTGGGGCACGCGGTAGCGTAGTTGGTTGAGGCACTATGATATAAGCCGGAAGGTCGCGGGTTCAAGTCCCGATGAGGTCACTGGATTTTTTTTTTTCAATTGATCTAATCCTTCCAGCCGCACTATGGCCCTGGGATCGACTCAGCCTCTAACAGAAATGAGTACCAGGAATATTCTTAGAATATCCTTTGGGGGTAAAGGGGGCCGGCGCGTAAGGCTGACAACCTTACCGCCATCTATGAGCCGATTGTCTATAAAATGTGGGAACCTCAACATCTCACAACCCTATGGGCCTCCACGGCCTGTTACAAGGTTACCTTTACATTTCCTTTCTGTTATGGCTTATGATTTCATTTCTGTTACCTGAGACAACCACACGGAAGGCACCAATAATAATTTTTACGCTTGCTATTCAGAGGTTAAAATTGTGGGACATGGATTGATGCGATGTTTCATAATGCTGTACCAGGAAGCTATATGTGCAAATCAGGGCTGTGAATAACCCGCACAATCCACGAAAAATATAGACCTGAAAGGCGGAATGGTGAAGCCAGAAGAGATCAATTGCCAGGTAACGACACGCTAAACATCTCCAACTTTTTTCAGTCTTGGTAGAAGACAAATCTTCTGCGCCAAGAAATATAGCGGCAGGGGTGCCTCAAGGTTCCGTCCTGGTCCCAATTCTATACAGTCTATATATAAACGACGACCCCGCGTTCTATGCGAAGTGCAACGCGGCCTCAGTGCCGTGAATTCGTGGTGTGAGCAATGAAACATAAAGGTCAATGAAGGGAAAACTCATGAGACCTCTTTCTCCAGAAGACTTAGAGCCCCTGAGGACGTGCCAAAACTAAATGGACGTGACATCTCCTTTATAAATAATGCAACGTGTCTTGGTGTCACCTTCGAGAGGAGGATGGCATGGAGACTCCATATTGAAAGAACTATAGCCAAAGCTTTGCACACATACTTAAGGCCATATTCCCTATTCAAAAGTAAGCGTTTGAGTACAACTATTAAACTTTACAAGACCTGATTAGGCCTGTAATGACTAATACATGTCCAACCTGTGAGTATGCGGCGGGCTCTCACTTCTTGAAACTGCAGCGCCTACAGAATAGAGTTCTCTGCGCTGCTGAAAACCTATACAACCGCACATTGGCCGCTAATGCACGTGTCTTTAAAATTCCTTACGTGCACGACTGCATAGTTAAATTATATAGGAAGTATGCAGAAGTGATCTTAAACCGTCTAAATCAAATTTTACGTGGTATTGGACAAGGAGGAGCCATGCATAGGAAGTATAAGAGGCTTGAACTTAGTGGCGGTCAAGCCTACGACCGTTCAGCTGACTAGCTCAATTATTAAGCCATAACCTGCTGCACGGGCTTGCATTGACAGAAACCTTCAGTATGTATTGTCTGAATGCTACTTAGAATAGTGCAATGACAAAGGCTGCACGTTGCCCTTAGGGACTTCGACGCTGTGACAGAGCGGATATCCTCTTGCTAAAACTATGGTGCAACAAATGTAGCGCCTTCACAGAAAGGTCAACCCCTATGCTCACCGAAGAGGAAGCCACATTTCTCAAACACGTACATGTCAGAGAGAGAAAAAAACTCCTGATCAAAATTCTCGACCAGACCTGAAGTCAAGAACGTCAAGAATGACTGTCCTGACGGTCCTGACGAGGGCCAGCAACAATTTAACCGACCGACCGAGTGGTGAGACGGTAGCCAGTCGGCAACGATGTGAACAAGAAAGCAGAGGACTCTGTTGTTAGAAAAATTACCAAGTAACGGCCAATGGGGACACGGTAGACCGAGAAGACTTCGTGTTTGTTAAGTTTGTAGATTAACGATAGTGTTAGTTGTCACTACAAGTTGTAATTGTTCAATAAATCCAATTACTATTTCTAACCCCGTGTCTACACACTAATACGTGACAATATCTCATCCCACACATCAATAAATAAATAAATTATAATATTACTTACAAACTGCTGCATTCTATTAATTTTCAGTATTTCAAGACGAACTGAGAAGTTTCATCCATGGCATACGCTATAAAATAGCATTGTTTGGAATCGGAATAATGACCATCGTTTGATACCCGTGTCTTATATTGAATCACGGATCAGTTCTGAGGATGACCTAGAACTGGACTCGAAAACGCTCGGAACTTCCGTGACGTCTGCACTTTGCCACGATGGCTGAAGCCGGTGTAAACATTTCGTCGAGGCTGATGGAAAGTGTAACTGAAGCCCAGAATGAGGTTTGTAGTGTCAGTAGTAATGATTCTTAAATGATTTGTGTACACTTTTTAACCCTTACTTATAGTGGTTAGGTAATGGTATTTCGATTAAAGGAACCTGGCAATGCAGAAATATTTTCGCTGTATTCGGCTAGAGAAAATGCAGAACATTGGTCGCCAGTCATCCATGTACAATTTAACTTGCGTACTCCAAAAACAAATGAGTATGCAGAATGAAAATCGTTGAACTAAATATGACAGTCATGTTATTAAAACTGAACAAGTATTCAATTTCAGCCTGTGCCCCAGTCTGTGGTATCTGGGATAGAGTTCCAGGCTTCTCAAGTAATAGAACGTTTGGAAGAGGCAGTTGAAAAGGCAGAGGATGGTGGTGGAGGGTCTGCATTAGGACAGTCATGGAAAAATTCCCATGCCTTCCTTCCACTTCCAGGCAAACCCACTGAGGAGATTCTTTCACTGTTGGAGGTATTTACTTTCTGTGTTATTGACATGAGAGTTGTTGCAGAATGATCATAAAGACTTCCGTGTTCAGACATCTTTCAGTTCAGTCTTGATATGTTACAGAATTTTACCATGATTACCTATGCAATTTCTAGTAGAATTAGGATATGGATTTTTTTGTTTAGGCCTATGAAAGAATTTTCTTTAATCCATTGACAGATGTGATTTTGTTGACCCATAATTCTTTCCCCATTAATCTTGAGGGAGAAGTAAGTTGTTGTTTTTTGTCTGGTAATATCTCTGTCTAAATGACTTTCCTTTAATAATTGTTTGAAAATGTATGAGAACTCTGTGTCTAAGACCCTTCTATTTTGTCCCTAGAATAAAACTTTGCCTGATTAAGATGTTAGCAGCTGGAAGATTTGTAATGACATTAGTGTAAAAAATGAAATAAAACTATATTGTATTCTAGCTATTAGAAGTGATAAGACAATTTCTTTCTACTTTTTTTTTTTTTTCAAAGTTTGTAACTTCATCTTTCAATTGTAACACTGCAGTTCCATATTCCCCAAGTATTTCCTGCTGTTCTATTAGGGAAAAGTAATAACCGTGAATATGTAATGAAATAGTATACATCCTCTCATTTCTCATGGCAGGACATGATAATTCATGAGGACTCAGGCAGTCCAACTGATCCTCCTGAAGAAGAAGGTGTGCTTGGTCCCAGCATTACCTCTTTACCTCAGTTGGACACTACTGCTCGCCTGGCAGTTGTTACACATAGTGTGGCAGCGTTTTCTAGTGGTTTGGAACGTTCACATCTGCAGCGTCTCAACACTCGCATTACATCAGACACCACACGATGGCTTAGTCATCTTTTCAGGTGACACACATTTTGGGATTCAAAGGCCAAAAAAAATGGCATTATAAGACATAACATATTATTAGGTAATATAAGTGCTTGGTGTAATTTTTTATATTTTTAGAGATTGAGTAGAGTGTTATGAGTAACAATCAAGTTCCTTCCGTCAAATGTGACACTTTTTTAAGTTTTCCACCTCGTCAGCACCTGCCTTACATGTTTCGGCTCACCACGGAGCCATCATCAGAGGCATTTATAGTAGAAAAAGAAATCACCAACACACAAAACTTCACTTTGTCCAAGATAGCCACGTTCCAGTTAATTAAAATAATTACAAATAGTTAAAATTACCCAGAATGTCGATTCACTAAAAGTTTTTCACACACCACAGTAGCTTCNCAATGTTATGAGTATTTTAAATGTTCATTTTTTTGGTAAGTACAATGTTTTATTCACCTTATTCATTCTCTGTATGTATCTTAAAAAATTAGTGCTATCATAATTAAGTAGTTAATTACTTTCTTAATCTGTTAAGAAGTTAATGCCGAGAGGTTCAGTTTCCAGAAATTAATTGAGGTAGAGGGTAAAGAGCAGTATTGTGTTGAAATCTCAAATAGGTTCACAACTTTGGAAAACTTAGATGGTGAGGTGGATATTAATAGAGCTTGGGAAACTATTAGAGAGAATATAAACATTTCAGCCAAAGAGAGTCTATGTTATGAATTGAAGAAGCACAAGCCATGGTTTGACAAAGGATGCTCAAAATTATTAGATAAAGGAAACAAGCCAAATTGCAGTGGTTACAGGTCAAAATGAAATAAATGAGGATAATCTGAACAATATAAGACGTGAAACCAGAAGGCATTTCAAGAATAAAAAGAGGGAATATCTGAGAGATAAAACTGATGAGCTTGCAATGAACAGTAAGAACAAGAACATTAGAGACCTGTATAGAGGAATAAACAACTTTAAGAGGGATTACCAGCCTAGCAGTAACTTAGTGAAGGCTGAGAATTTTGATCTGCTTGCAGATTCCCACAACATTTTGAATAGGTGGAGGAACTACTCTCAGTTATTCACTGTACACCGGGTCAGTGATGTTAGGCGGACAGAAATCCATCTAGCGGGGCCGTTAGTGTCTGATCCTAGCCCTTTTGAGGTTAAAGTGCTATTGCAAAGTTGAAAAGGTATAAATCGCCAGGTAGTGTACATATTTTGGCAGAACTTGTTCAAGCAGGAGATGAAACATTACAGTCTGAAATCCATAAACTTGTTAATTCTGTTTGGAATGAGGTATTGTTGCCTGACCAGTTTAAGGAGCCTTTGTTGTACCAGATTACAAGAAGGACGATAAAACTGACTGTAGTAATTATCAAGATATATCAATGTTATCAACTTCTTATAAAATGTTATCCAATATCCTCCCCTCAAGGTTAGTCTAATATGTAGATGAAATTATTGGGGATTGTCATTGTGGGTTTTGACGTTACAGATCAATTACTGATCAGAATTTTTTTTGCATTCTTCAGATAATGCAGAAAAAATGAGATTACAGTGAGACAGTACATCAACTATTTGTAGACTTAAAGAAAGTCTATGAATTAGTTAGGAGGGAAGTATTGTACCATATTCTCATAGAGTTTGGGGTACCCACAAATCTAGTTAGGCTGATTAAAATGTGTTTAAGTGAAACATATGGTAAAGTCTATATAGGTAAACATTTGTCTCACAATTTTCCTATCCAGAATGGGCTAAAATGAGGAGATTCTTTATTGCCATTGCTTTTCACCTTTGCTTTAGAATATGCCAGTAGGAAGGTCCAGCAAAACTGGGTGGGACTGAAATTAAATGGGACACATCAGCTGTTGGTCTATGCTTATGATGTGAATCTACTGGGTGATAACATAGATATCATAAAGAAAACACAGAAACTTTAACTGATGCTAGTAGGGAGGTTGGTCTAGAAGTAAATGGAGAAAACTGAGTAAATGTTGATGTCTGATCACCAAAATGCAGGGCAAAATCATGACATTAAGGCAGCTAACAAATGCTTTGAAAATGTGGCACAGTTCAGATATTTGGGAACGACGATAACAAATCAGAACCTGATTTAGGAGGAAGTTAAGAGGAGATTGAACTCGGATAATGCTTGCCACCATAAATCAAAATTTGATTCGGAAGGAAATTAAGGGGAGATTGAATTCGGGCAATGCTTGCCACCATTCAGTGCAGAACCTTCTGTTTTCTTGTCTGCTGCCAGAAAACGTAAAAATTAGAATATACAAAACTATAATTTTGCCTGTGGTTCTGTATGGGTGTGAAACTTAGTGTCTGACATAAAGGGAGAAACATATACTGAGGGTGTTTGAGAAGAGGGTACTGAGGAGATTATTTGGCACGAAGAGAGATGATGCGATGGGAGGTTGCAGAAAACTGCATACTGAGGATCTTCATAACTTTAACTCTTCTCCAAGAATAATTAAAATGATCAAGTCAAGGCCGATGAGATGGGCATGATATTTAGCACAAATGGGGGTGAAGAGGAATGCATATAAGATATTGGTTGGATAGCCATAAGAGACCACCAGGAAGACCAAGATGTAGTTGGGCAGATAATATTAAAATGGATCTTAGAGAGATAGTATAGGGTGGTATGGACTGGATTGATCTGGATCAGGATAGGAACCAGTGGAGGGCTCTTGTAAACATTGTAATAAACCTTCATGTTCCAATAAATGCTGGGAAGTTCTTGAATAGGTGTGCAACTGGCAGTTTGTCAAGAAGGGCTCAGCTCCACGATGTTAGTTAGTTAAGACGTTAATCTGTTAAGGAAAGTGATCATTCATCCAGAATTTTCATATAAATTTCTGTTTAATAGACTTCAATTCAGAGTGTAATGGGTGCAGATATTATTAATGCCCATTATATAAAAATTCTGTCAAAACCACTTCACATTACACTTAATTACTGTATTGAGGAATTCCAGACTCTTAGTGACAAACTTTGAAATTCCTTAATTTAGCAGAATCATATCATTGGAGTGTTCAGCACTGTGACTGAATGTCTGAATGTTTGCCTCTTTGGATACATAGCCTGTATTCTGCTGTCAAAATTTGTGTACTCTTTGTTATGCATATTATCCAAGTTCACTTTTTCTCATAAAAACTTAGCATTATTTATTGGTTTGTAATAATTATCAGTACAAGAAAATTAGATGAGTTTTTAAGTTTAACCCGTTGGAACCAACCTCAGTATCTCTTACTGACTGGCTTGTTGTTGTATGCCGCCAACATCAGTAAGAGTTACTGTCATTTGCCACAGAATAATTCTGAAAGATGATGTTTAAACTCAAATTTCAGTTGAATCATGTGATGGGAATACTTGAATTTGAGAATCTTAAACCTGAAGTCATCGGTACTACATACTACATACTTCTGACACCAGTTGTTACGTGTTGGGTATGTTATGCGACAGATAAATTCATGTGGGTCTCGGATTCAGCGAATCTTTATTGGACATTCACTCTTACACACCGTACAATTTTATCACCTTAATTGTATTCTGCGGCGGCTATCTTCCAACTGTCTTGTATGGCCACTAGATCTCAACTGTAGTATGAAGGCTAATTAGCTCTGTGGTGTTGTAGCTCTGTCACTCTCGGCTTATGTAGGTGTTCTGCCGACCGGATACGAGACACCATTCGTTAAGGTTCGATCTCACGTGTTCAGCAATCCGTTGATTCGGGAACGCTCTTTAGGTGCTGGTAACGTGTTTCGTCTCATACATTGTTACTTAAGGGCCTTCTGTTGTTCATCTCTGGGGAAACGCTTTCGTTGTTTTGGCATTGTCTACGCAACGGCTCGCTGTTATTGCGTTACCATGGAAGTATCTACTCCAAAAACGTTACATTATGGTAGAGTGTTTCTGTTTGTGAATATAGGGGAAATTAACTGGTCCCTCTCCCAAAAAGAAATCTATAATAGTAATATTTCCTATTTTTAGTTTTAAATCTCAACAAAATTAATATTGTTTGTCTACATTATATAGCCAAAGTGTGACTGTAACAAGAAATTATCAACCTTAATTTTATAACAGACCTATTCCTTCATCTGCTGCAGGTTTTTTGACTGTGCAGCTTTTGTCCATGATGACATGCTGGAAGGGGTGGTGCGTCTGACACGGATGATGTTGCACTACAAATATCCAAAGTACCTCGAGGATGGATTTGATGCCCTGACCTCACGCCCCCCTGTCATCTACAGTAGTGTGGCCTCTCCCCTTGGTGTAGTCCAGCATATTTGTCGTCAGGTGAGAACATAGATGAATTAAATTGGAGGTGATAAGTAACTGGGTAATCAGAATAGAACTAATTTCAGGCAGTATATATATTCTGCACAGGGGACCTCAGCACTGCAGTAGTAGTGTTATCTTAATTAACATTTCCTTCCTTGAATGATAAAGAGATTAAAGCTTGTTGGCCTATAATCTAAGACATATCTGGCTTTATGAAGTTAATCATCGTATGACTCATTGGTGAGCTTCATTATCTCTGGAATGTAAAAACTGATAAATTTGCAGAAATCAGCATTGAGATGTGTTTTTACCTGGTATAGCAACTGGCTGGATGACTGAAAGGTCGGGGTTCAAGTCCTAGTAGGGTCAAGAATTTTCACTCTTCCATATTGTCCAGACTGGCTCTGGGGTCCACCCAACCTCCTGTGCAATGGGTTCCAGGGGCTCTTTCCTGGAGGTAAAGCAGCTCACCTCCTCTCACCTCCAACTAGCGCTGAGGTCCAGAAAATGTGGATCTATACATCCACTTCCACATACATCTTCATGGCGTAGTGTTTAATTAGTTAAGCAGAGGGACAACTTTACCTTTACTTTCTACCTTCATAACATGGTTTTCTCTGTGTTCCCACCATAAACATGAGACCAAGATATGCCCACAATTCTGAAGATATCACTCATTTGAAATTTTTACGACATGAAGATGGAGGCTCATGTGATTGTGGGTATTGCATAGAATTAGTTAACTCTTTCATTCTTATTAATGCAACTTTCATGAATGTTCAGGGATGGCATGGTTATTACCACAGTCATATTTCATTCAATCATTTGGTTTTGTTAATGGAAGTTGCATTAATAAAACTGAAATAAGTGACTAAATAACTAATCAGTGTAACAGAATGCTCCAATATACTGTGACGTGGATGGCGCAACAGGAAGTCGGGGTCACGTGAACTCTGCGG